CCTTCCTTCCTTCCTTCCTTCCTTCCTTCCTTCCTTCCTTCCTTCTTTCCTTCCTTTCTTCCTTCCTTCCTTCCTTCCAGACAGAGTCTCACTTTGTGGCCCTTGGTAGAGTGCTGTGGCATCACAGCTCATACCAACCTCCAACTCTTGGGCTTCAGCGATTCTCTTGCCTCAGCCTCCCAGGTGGCTGGGACTACAGGCACCCACCACAATGCCTGGCTTTTTTTTGGTAGAGACGGGGTCTCACTCTGGCTCAGGCTGGTTGCCAACTTCTGAGCTCAGGGCAGTCCACCTGGCTCGGCCTCCCAGAGTGCAAGGATTACAGGCGTGAGCTACCACGCCTGGCTAGATTTTTTTTTTTAATAAAATTTTCTTCCAGAACTTTTATGATTTTCTTTTAAATTAGTTAAATATTTGATTTATCTGGAATTTATCCTGGTATATGGATACAGGAAGAGTTACATTTTAGGAATTTTTTCCCAAAGGGAGCAAAGGGATCTTTCCCTCACTGATTTGAAATGGCACCTTTACCCTGTACTAAATTGCCAAGTAGCTGTAGGTCTGTTTCTGGAACTCTTATAGCAATGGTCTCCAACCTGTTTGGCACCAGGGACTGGTTTCTTGGAAGGCAATTTGTTCACAGATTGGGAGTGGGAGGATCGTTCTGGGATGACTCAGACACATTTCCTCTCACCTGAGATTGTCAGGCATTGGGTTTTCATAAGGAGCTGCAACCCAGATGCCTCCACGCACAGCTTACAGTAGGGTTCATGCTCCTGAGGGAATCTGGGGCCACAGCTGATCTGACAAGAGGGGAGCTCAGGGGTGAAGCCAGTGATGGGGAGCGGCAGTAAACACAGGCGAAGCTTCCCTTGGTCTCAGCTGCTCACTCACCTGCTGTTTACCTTGTACTGTGTGTGTGGGGGGGGAGTCGGGGTTGTTGGAGACCACAGTGTCACAGGATTACCTACTAGAGATTTATGGTGCATTTTATCAGCTGGCAGGGCTGGTTCCAGCCCTTGGTACTGTCATTGCCTTTCAGATTTTCCTGGATATTTTTACACACACTTATTCTTCCATAGAAACTTTAAAATCACCTGTCTAGTTACACATTAAAAATTCTTATTGGCATTTTTGTTTGATATGCATTAAATCTATTATGGAAAAATTATCAGCTTTATAACATAGAGTATAGAATTTGTCCAGTTTAAAAGGATTTATTTGTTTACTTAGTCAAGCTTGTCTATCTTAGTCAATAAAGTTTATTTGTAAAAATCCAATACATATCTTGTTCGCCTATTCCTTGGTGTTTATCTTTCACTGTTTTTGTAAATGTTAACTTTCATTTTATTATTTTTCCATCCTTGTTTCTGTTTGTATGTACAAAGAAAGCTATTGATTTTTTT